AACCCCAGCTCCCGCCGTCCGCTGCTCGACTCCCTGCGATCTGCCCCCTCGCTGTCGCTGATCCCCCTCCTTGCGAGGTGACCCGCCAGCCGCCTTAACAACACCTCCCGCCCCGCCCCCGTGGCCAGCAGCCGCCGCGCCCTGCTCCTGCGCCACCACAAACCGCGAGGGGTCCTTCATGAATCGAGCCATGTCACCCACAGACCCACGCACACCCAAACCCTTCAATAACGCCTTAAACGAGGGTCCACCGGACACCTGCGGCATAAGCACGGGACGTGGAAGCTGCCCCACTGCAGCCACCGACGCCGCTGGTGCTGGTGCTGGTGCCGCTGGTGCTGGCGTCACATCCGGCAGCGGCGGCGCTGCCGCCGTGCCGCCCGAGTCGGAGTTGCGGCCGCCGCCGCCGCCGCCGCCTGCGGCTGCAGCACCCCCCATGCCCGGCTCCGTCCCCCCCCGGCTGCCCCCCGGCATGACGGGGGCGGTGAGGGCTGCACGACTGGCCGCCGCTGCCGCCGCCGCCGTCGCCGCCACCACGGGCCCGCCCAACCTCGGCAGGAAGGTGGCCCTGGCCAGTCGCTGCACAGTCTGGTGCTTCTCAAACGCCTTCACTTCCGCACGTATCTCGTAATCCAGTCGGGCTGTGGGCGGTTGGGGGAGTTGGGGGAGTTGGGGGAAAAGGTTCTGGGGGCAGTTTCGGGAGTCTTCGAGCGCATACGTGCATACACACGTACACATGTACATACAAACGCAGGCACGGATTATCCCCATGCACATCTACCTGTTGCAACTACCATCACCTATGGCACGTCCGCCTCTTCCTCCCCACATGGCGCCGTATCTATCTCTCCCTCCCCCTCCCCCTCTCCCTCCCCCTTCCCACTACCCCTCCGTCTTCAGCGACAGTTGCACCGCCCATCGCTCCCACAGACCCACAGACCCAGAAACTCCTCTCTCTCACGTACACACACACGCACACACATACAGACATACAGACATGCAGCTCAACACCCCGGACATACCCTTCAGCTCCTCCACAAGGTCCTGATCCCCAGGTGCCGCCCGCCGCCGCCGCTTCTTTTTCTTCTTCTTCTTCCTCCTCTTCTTCCCATCGCCGTCACCCGCTTTCCGCTCCTTCCGCTCCGTCGCCCCGGGTGCCGTACCCGCCGCCGCGCCGGTTCCAACCTCGCCGCCGTCTCCCGACCGCCGTACACCATCCCCCAATAAAGTCCCCCCCGTCGTCGCCGCCGCACTGTCAATACTTTCCCGCTTTGCTCTTGGCGTTCGTTGCCCGGGTCCACTGCCGCCGCCGGCGACGGCGGCAGCGACGGCGGCAGATGCTTTCCTGTCGTGTCCGTTGGCAGCGGCGGCGGCAGCGGCGGCAGATTTCGTCGCCGTCGTCGGCATCAGCGCTTCCGGCGGGATGTGCCCGTCGAAGAAGGCCGATGGAGAGGCGATGACGGGCAGTGTACGGCGGAACCGGGACGACAGGCCAGCGGCAATGATTACTGGGGCCTCAGTGGTTTCGGAGCCATTGAAGGAGGTCGAACCGTTTTCGGAGCTGCCATAGGGAGGGAGATAGGGGAGACCGGATTCACCGGACGGGCCGAGCAAAGTGGGGGGCCGTAAGAATTGACGGAAAAAGTGAGTGGTCGTACATTGAGCTGACGTGGTCAGATGCGGCAGGACATGTAGGTGACGTTTTCCCATTAGAAAAGATCTGCATTGCCGTACAAGGCTGTACACCTTCAGCTAATCGCCGCCCCTTCACAAAGGAAACGATTCCATCTTCACCCCCCCACCCCCGTCGTTGCGCCACGGGTCTCTGGATTTCATTTGGATCGGCATCCTCACGCCATCGGCTTCTCCCCTCCCTTTCCTTCCCCCTCTCCCCTCACCCACCTGTAACCGTCATCCTCCTCCCCAGAGGACGACGACGAAGAAGGAGAAGAGTCTCCTGTCTCCCCCCCAGTCGTGCTCCCCTCCCCCTCCTCCCGCTCCCCCCTTCCCCCCCCGCCACCTCCTCCTCCCCCGGCGGCCCCCACTGCGCCGCCGAGCCCTCCCTGTAGGGTCGCCAGCCGGGAGAGCAAATCCCTTCCGCCCCCCGTCAGGCCGCCCTCTCTCTGGGGCCCCTGCTGGTACTGCTGCTGCGGCGGCGGCGGCTGCTGGGCCCCGGGAGCCCCCTGAGCATGAGGCTGCTGAGGCTCACTACTGCCGCTGCGGTTGGCCGTTGAGGTAGTTGCATCGGCCGTTGTGGCAGTTGTGGTTTGCTGCTGGGCCCCAGCCGTTGCGTTGCTTTCCCTGGAGGGTGTACGGGAGCCTGTACGGGGCCGTTCCGGTTCTGTGGCGGTTTGTAAGGCCCGGTTGACTCGTTGGTGGATGGAGGGCAATCCGTGGATCAGCCGGTCGATGCGCATCTGTATGTATGTACGTATGTATGTATGTATGTATTTCGGGGGTAGAGGTGAGAACGGGGAAAAAGGGAAGGCGTCAGTGGGAGAAAGAAGGACAAGGCCGGGGAGGGCTTTGGCCGGGAGGCGACGGCGCTAAGGGCTGAAGGCGTGATGTGGAGTGCGGGGGTGGAGAGAAACCATAAACCAACAGTTAGTTAAGATCTCAAAACCGGACCGAGTAGAACCCTAACTAAGTCAGTTAACCCTTGGCGGCCAGATAACAATCACCGTTCATCCAACTTTTTTACCTTTTCCTTGTGCAAGTTGTATTTGAATTTGAGCGGGTAGATCTCCCGCGTAATCAGTCGCCCCTCCTCCTCGTCTTCAGACTTGGTCACCTGGTCGCCGGCAGCGCTGTCGCCGCCGCCACCGCCACCGTTGCCGTACGTGCTGTCCTCGCCGCCGACGCCGCCAGCACCGCTTGCGGCGCTGCTGGCGGCCGCCAGTGCTGGTGGCGGCGGTGGTGGTAGTGGCGGTGTTGGGGGTCCAGAAACTGCCGTGTGTTGGGTTATTGGCGGTGTTAGTGGCGGTAGTGGTGGTGGTGGCCGTAGTAGTAGAGGTGGTGGTGGCGGTGGGTGAGCATCCGGGGGTGCTGGGAAGGGAGGGAAGGGACGACGGGGGAGACCTTCCGATAGGTGGTGAACAAAGAACAGTAACACCAACACCAGCACCAGCACCAGCACCAGCACCAGCACCAGCACCAACACCAACACCAACACCAACACCAACACCAACACCAACACCAGCACCAGCACCAGCACCAACACCAATGATGGCCACCACGGGCATTTCGCTTCACTGATGCAGTGTGTATCAAAATGCGTATCGAAATGAAAAACATGAAATACATGG